TTTCCCTCAAGCTGTCTTCGATCACTGGCAAGCTATGTCTGGCAACCCCTTGGAAGCCGGTAACAAGGTCTACGATATCATCCGCACCGTCCGTAAGCGTAAGGGTCTCGTTGAAGACATCCCCGGTCTCGACAGATACTACGATAAGCTTTAAATCATCTTTACTTTACATTTGTGGATACTTATATATACTCTTTACTCTCATTCTTTCTGTGTACACCTTCCCCATAACCCAGAATTTTTTATTTCTAGATGATTTGTCTTTAGATAGTCTTGTTTATAAATAGAAATTGTTACAAATCAAATACATTCGTTTACTTAACAATCCTTGTAGTCATTGATGTGGTTGTATCATAGGTGAGGGGCGCCTGAACAGTTGAAAGCTTTGTATGCTGGCTGCATGAAGTGTATATTTCAAACTCCGTCCTGGCTCGCAATGTATAAGAATAACTTTTTTGCTGGCAATCCTTTTCTTTGCTTTTTCTTTGCTTCTTCATCACTTTTTTTTGTCCAACGACATTGGCACTACACTGCGAACGACTCGCCTCTATACAACGACCTCAGGTGACGAATGCATGGTAACTCTCTCCTTCCCACCATCTCGTCCATCTTTGCCTTACCATAGCTAACATTTACCTATTGCATCATTGCTTCTTTTTTTCTTGAATGATCGAATAGGATGGCAACGGATATCGTCTCTCTGGCATCAGGACTGGATGTACATGTAGTTGGAAAAGGAATTGGACGGAAGGAATTACGAAAAAATGGGGAAACACTCGCAACCTTTTTTTTGGCGCACTCACTTTTTCCATAGTAGATTCTCTAACCATTGCGCTACTGAAGGCCACGAGCCCACTACCGCTTATATATGTAGCACCGCTGGACATCCCACCCCTCCTTCATTCCTTAGGTCGATACACTAGATTAGACACTCCATGGCAACTCCTGTAACCAGCGCACCCCCCCCTCCCACCAACATTCTTCTTCGCTCTGGATCGACTCTGGTGCATAGTAGATTCGTATCGACCTGGAAAAGACAGGCTTTGTCCTCCAAATCCTACAAGAACAATCCTGCATGGTAGATTCCCCTTCTTACTGGCCCATCCAAATCCCCTTGGTTACCACACTAGTTTAGTTGCCCGTGAACCCCCGTCTTGTATCACTCAGAAAAGTAGTGAGCAAAGTTATTATAGCTTAAATACAGGTTTATCTTTATCATATGGTAATAAACATCATCTTCCTTCAAAACTATATACAGTAGCGACTACATTATTGGAATCATTCTTGATTATTTGGTAGATCGGATCGCCCATTGTCATCCTATGTGGGTATGAGGAACAGAGGGGTTAACTTGACAGGATTCTCAAAAGGACTTCCATTCTACATTCAATCTATACCTTTTCTTCTTCGACAGGCTTCATAAAAGTCGGCATGGGCTCCTCTTCTTGACCAACTGGTACCGTTGGCGTGGCAACCTTGGTGACATTATGATCGCCTTCGTTAAAGGTACAGCCCAGGTGTTGTAAGGCGGTTACTCGATCTTTTCCTAGAGGCTTTGGAGAGATGGGTGCTGCAGATGGTTTACAAGAGATATCCATGTTCGTTTGTGAATTGTTATAAGAAGTAAAGAAGAACGGATTGATGATTTAAGATGTGTTATATAAGGTGATTTTAGGTTGGAAACGAAAACACACTAGCGAAGGAAATCGAGCGGAGTTTCAAACGCCGTCTAGCATGAAAGTCGAGCCCCCCAGGCTCCCTGCATCGTCTGATCACTTGTCCTAGGGAATGACATCAGTTACATCACCGCAAGGCTACCACTAAACCATATCACACACATACAAGCAGTTACATATCCCGTCTTCCTTTTTCATTGGGTTTTATTTGTTCAGCGCATAGTGAGAGATTGATGAATGAGTAAAAGTGGTAGGGGATCATGATGATATGGGTTATAGATATAAACTAAGGGATAAAGGGGTGGGGTCTATCTCTAAACACCATCCAGCTGACCTTCGAGTTCGTCCATTTCGTTCTTGGCAGCAAGGTACTTTTCTTCCAAGTCACTGTTCTTCTTTTCCCAGGTCTTGAGTTCTTGTTGTAACTTGATAGCCTTCTTGCCAAGCTGCTCAGCACGTAGATCAGCTTCACGGAAACTACAAAGCAAAAAAAAAAAAAAAAAGCTCGTTAGTACTGTGCGTGATGATAAAACACTTTTACTGTTTCTACCACTCTACACATACACTCCACCTAGTACTTACTTTCCATTAGCTTCCTTCAAATCGATTTCAGCTTGTTCAAGTTGTTCCTCCAAAAGCTTGGCCCGTTCTTGTAAAGAGGTGAACTCATCATCCTTGTTGGCATGTTGAGTTTCCAGAGCTGTGGCCTTTTCTTCAAGTTCATCACCACGTTTGTTGGCATTGTCGATTTCAGCGCGAAGCGAAGCGAGTTTCTAAACACATTAACAAACAAGAGATGAGTTCCGGGGTCCCCATCTTGTTTGGCTTCCACAAGTCATTGTAATACGCAAGCATTGTTGGACTTCGCTACAGTCTACACCCCTTGTCATCTAGTTTCATCTATTCGCTTTTCTCCTATTCCCATCCCTTATTTCTCCATCTCCATCTTCTTACCTCCTTAAACTTTTCCATGAGTGTTAGATGAAGAAGAAAGAGAGAAACAAAAAGGTGGAATGCCCTTTTATTTCGTAATCAGGAACTTTGAGCGGAGTTGTAAAATCGGGGCTTGAATATATTTTTAGGTCCAAAGCCTTGGTCGTCTGTCAAGAGGTATGGGCCCCCTGCCCTTTCCTGGCACTCAGGCAAACCTTCAAATAAGCACACATCCGTTCGATAGACTATTGTTTTCAAACTGATCAGATCCAGAGCTCTGCGCACATTTGCTTTGGGCGCCTGTGCGAATCATCAACCCGAGGCATCCAAAACGGGCAATGCTCCAAGTGATAATTAGCAACAAGAAGAGTCGGAGCTGTCTGCCCCTTTTATGATCAACGTGTTTTTCATCCTTCCCAGGTAGACATTGTAATTGCCTTTTGTAGTAAAAAAGTGAAAGGAGGGAAGAACAATGACCAATGCATCGTGCTACCTATCACCTGTCATCGCAGTTTACCGCACTTCAAGAAGAAGCATCTTATCATAGCATATTAAGAGAAAAAAGTATCATAGCAGACATCAGTAGCTGTTTCAGAACATCAATGTGTTTTTATTTACAAAGGCAAAGGGATCAAAGGTTAAGGAGATTGTAAAGGAAGGGGAATAGTAGATAACAATAAGTGACCAGTGAAGAGGGGAAAAGGGGAGAGAGAGGGAAAGAAGGGGAACTAACTAGTCTATATGATGAATTCATTGCCAGAGTCAGAATCAGAATCGTCCAAACCTTCGTCGATTTCTTCGTCTTCGCTGTCGGTGATTAGAGCTGTCAGTCGTTCTGCATTGAGTAAGTTTTCCACCATCACATAAGGTGTCATCCGGAATGAGAAAGCCATATCCCTAAGGTTCAGTGATTCTTGTTGCTGTGGGTCAGAAGTATCCATTACTGTATCATTTTCGTCACCATGATCGACCTTTCCACCAGTGGTTCCCAATTTTGAAGAGTCCAGTATCATTCGAAGGCCAACCGACCTGTTGTAACGCCGTTTGCTGATGGTGTTGGATAATGCTGACTTGATGTAACTCTATATATCACCACAAATGGAGTCAGTGTCTTTTCCCATCTAACCCTTTACTTACCTCCATTGCAAATAGCATAGCGTATACAGCGTCTTCACTGACCCCGTTCATCAATCCGTGTTCCATTGCTATACTTGACATTCTTGCCTTCAATGTCCCTGCCCGAGGAAGTTCCCGTAAGTCGCTGCATAATGGTCCCAATAGGCCTCGAGAGTAGTCCACGTTATAGTCTACATACAACAGCTTTAGATTAGCATTCATAATCCCACTACTTCCAGTAGCTACTTACTAGAAGGCAGTTGGTTCAAGGTACGCAAGAATGGTGCAGGTTTGCTAACCCGGGGTGCCAACAGTTGATTCACAAAGGGTCTTAACCTATCTTTATCACCCGTCTACAAAGTAAAAGCCCAATGTTGTCAGTATTCTCTCTACGTACTACCACTTACTTACCTTGATCAAAGCCTTTAACCGCTCTCTGTCCGCCTTGCTGAGAGACATGATATCCAGTTTCAATTTCTGCTTGTGAGGATCATGATCTTGCCCATCCTTTCTACTCTTTCGTTTCCATCCTACGGTCCGCTGTCGTGAAGGTGGTGGGGTGGCCGACTGTGCGTTGTGAATGGTGCTGAGAATGAAGGCGTTGTGTAAGTGTGCTGCAAATCCCACGGTGATCAATAGAAGCAAAGATGAGTTAGCATCCATAGTAAGCCCTCTTCATTCAGTTCGCACTTACCATGTTGACGGCTAAGGTAAAGATTAGCGTAGAAATCAAACTCTTGACGGTTCAATTTCCCCATAACAAAGTCCCGTAAAGCATCCCAATACAGAGGTCCATTATCCCCTAAGCAGTCGGCAAGTTGTTGTTTCAAGGCCATCACATCCTTTCGTCCATTGCTGTTCTTTTCCGTATCTGATCCATTCAGTTTGAGGGGTGCGCTACTTGCCGTCATCATTTTCATGCTAAAAAAGTTGAGAAGGGGGAAGAGAGGATGCAAAGCGAAAAAAAAAAGAAACACACAGATATGAAAAACAGTTTTCCAACTCCGCTATTTTTGCACAAGAAGCAAAAAAAAGGTGAATGCCATGACGGGGAATCGGACCCCGGCCACGCGCTTGGGAAGCGCGTATTCTGCCACTAAACTATCATGGCGGACTTTTTTATTTTCAAAAAGTCCTGTATATAAAGAAGAACGCCGGAGTTTTAAAATTTGAGAAAGGGCTTGTCTGATTGGGTGAGTGTGGCAGACGTAGAACACAAGGTTTGGCATGAAACGAAGCCGTATTGACCGAGTTATTCTGCTTTTCAAAAATAAATGTACCTCCATCGATCGCATTTCTAGCTCATGCGTAATGGCTTGTCAGAATTGGCGTTCAAATCCGATGAGTTTTCAAAAGTTCAAATTTGTGAGTCCCCTGAGTCTAACGGAGTTTGTAAAAGTCATATTATCATGCAAGGTGTGTGGGTGTTTGGGCTTGGGGGAGTTTTGGCCCGCGGAGTTTCAAAAGTATATAAGCACCACTTTTTCTCGCCAGTCCTTTGTTTTGCTTCTTCTTCGCTTCCTCATTACTATATTTTTCCATCGTCATTTGCAATACTCCTCCACGAATGACTCGACCTTCACTCGATTATCTTTACACGACGACTACGAACAATAAACGAACGAACGGACGATTACTCTCCCCTCCTCTCAGCACCTTGCTAATCTTTTAGCTTACCATGACCAACATTTCTTTTTCGGCTTTAGATCTCGGCTACGACGATGACGACGACGATAACGAAGACGATGACGACAATGACGACTCGCCCACTGCTTTATATCACGAGATAAGGCTGTTTTAAAATTTTTAAATATGAAAAACAGAGGGAAACCCTTGAATTTTTTTTTTTCGTGCACTCACCTCATCCAGCGTAGATTCTATAGCCATTGCACTGCTGAAGTGCACTATCCTTTGGCCTGATCCCTGTGTCCATCACAACTGATGCTTTTGGAACCGTTAGTCTGCTCTACCCTCCTCCATTCCCAACGCCATTACACTACATTAGTCACTCCATGGCAAGCCCTGTATATACCCTTTGCAGACTTCCTGCCCCCCCCCTATATATCTTAGCCTTAGTACCATTCATTTAATAAAGCATACTTGATAACATCCTCCAAGAACTTTGTTAACTTTCAGGACTAAAGCGCTACTGTAGTGTCATCACGTTTGACCTGAGAAAAAGTGGACTCTCAGGTTCCCTCGCACAAATTTAGGATTATGAACGGAGTTGTAGAGTCAGTCATGGAGAAGAGTAAAGTCTCATGGGGATGGGGATCAAAGAAGGTTTATTGACTAAAACAAGACTATGACAAGCTATATGCCTAAGTGTGTGTGTGTTGGGGGGGGGTTATGAAGGTCCGTACAGAACTTGGCCTGGGACGACTAATCTAATGTAATGAGCTACGGAATAAAGGATGGGAGAGCGGATCGGCGGCGCAAAAAGTGTCAGTGGTGGTGGGCAAAGGGAAGCAGAGAAACGAGCAATGTTGTTTAGCAGTGCAAAGGCCACAGAATCTACAATGGATGAGTGCACCTAAAAGAAAATTGAGAGGGGTTTCCCATGTTTTTCGTAATCCCTTGCGTCCAATCCTCAGAGAGCCTATATCCGTTGCCATCTCAGTCGATCTGCTGAGAAAAAGAAGAGTAATGATGGAAGATGTTAATGTTAGCAATGTAAGAGAGAAGTAGGCAGGATGATGGAAAGGAGACTTACCCTTGGTTTCATCATTAAGGGTCGTCATGCATAGTTTATGTCAGAGGGAGAGTCATGGCAAAGCCGATGGTAAGAAAAAAGTGATGGGGAGGGAAGAAGAAGTAAAGAATAAAAGATTAGTGGAAATAGTGGAGCCCTTATAGCATTGTTTAAACCCCGCTAACTTTCTTCTCACCACAAAATTCTTACTGCCCGCATAATTCAGGGCACGCCAAAGTAGGCAATTGATTTTTTATTGAAGAAGGAGTTACTACTAAACATTGCTACATTACTGTTGGTTTGCGCCAGTTCATTTTGATGCCAAGGTAGGCATACGATCCATCGCAATCTTCTCCAGTATAATCCGGAGCAGCTGTATCCGACTCTTGTCCATCGAAGACCAAGGGCCGCTTTTCAAGATCCAAGGGACATGTAACCCACAGTGTATCGTATTCAGGGAAATAGCCATCGTAAAGTATATCGATACCGACGAGCAGACAGTCCTAAGCAAAAGAAGAGATGTCGGTTAAAAGGCTGATTATCATCAAGATTATGATCCATTTTACCGTGTAGCATTCCATCCAAAGCTCGATATCCGTATACCCTTTGTACTGTTGGTGAGCCGAAGTCCGGCCATCATCTTCGTAGAGCCTAAAAGTCCACCTGTGGGGTTTTTCTTGATCCTTGTCTTGATAAGCAACAGTGGCGGTGGTTACAGGAGGCGGGTAGATATGGATACGCCGTTCATCATCAGGGAAAGCGTGGACATGAGGCATCGACTTCCCGTAGCACATGAAGGACCCTTCTTTGATGAATAGAGGGGAGATTGCGTCTTCCAGAGCTGCAGGTACAGTGTATTCTTGACCACCCGGATAATAGCGCCCTGTTTGGTAGTGATACCAGCCAGTACCTTCGATATTCTTTGGTGGGGTGTCAGTTGATGTGGTAGGGCTGCTGTTGATATTGCTGTCGTTGTTGTTGTTGTTGCTGGTTCTGTCAAGTGGTAGATAGACAAGTCTTGTAGATTTTCCTAGTTCATACACAGGAGCCACCAGTAATTGCGATCCAACCATGAATTCAAAGTCTTGGGTAAAAGTGCGCTTGTCGTTTGGATGATCATAGAGCGTTGGGCGTACCACAGGCTGGTTACCACGAAACGTCAAAGTTGCATACAGTGAATAGAGATGAGGGATCCACCTATAACGCCATTCAATAGAGGCCCTAACGATTGGCAGCTCTTTGGGATACTGTTGGATAGATGGACGTTAGTGACATTCTTTTATCACAACTATCGGCTTTCTATATACTTACCATCCAAGGCTCCGTGATGGTTTTGTCGGAGTTATACGAGTGAATACAGAATCGAGTCCAAAAGACACCTTGTTGAACCCAGCGCACCAGTTGTTCAGGAGAAGGAGAGGGGCCAGCGAATCCTCCAATATCATGCCCATAGCCACCTGGTAAACCACATAAGCCAGCACCTGTTCCCATTGAGACGTTGTAAGCTATTGTTTTCCAAGCTGTATAGTTATCGCCACTCCAGGTTTGCGCCACCGCAGATTGACAAAAAGGCACAGTAGAGCGGGTAATCAAGCAAGGTCGTTCATCGGGCCGGGCCTTTTGGATAGCTTCATAGGACGCCTGGATCATGAGAAGAGTTTGAATCGGAGTATCGATTGTAAATTCCTTCGCCCGAGTTGCCAATATTGTACCAGCTGGCGAGACAGCATATGGAATAGGTATTCTTGGAGAATTGGTTGGATTGATGTTGTAGCGTCGCTGACATCGGAAGGTTTGCATTTCATTGTCGACCATAGTGAATTCATTGTTGTCCAGCCAAATATCAAACCCAAGGTTTAAAAGAGAAGAGGCCAGTTTTTCTTGCCAGTAGTGGTATCCGGCTTCGCTTGTAAAGTCGATGTAACTTGCTTTTCCCTTGGTATTCTGTCCACCACGCCATTGCCAAATTGTAGCAGGTTTACCATGAGAGCCAGCTTGCCGTACCAGACCTTTAAGGGATTCCATTTGGGCATAGTCAGGATGATTTGTTAATAGCCACGGCTTGACGTTTGCAAAGATCTTCATACCAGCATCCCGATACACCTCCGCCAATCGTTTCGGGTCAGGAAACCGCTGCTTGTTCCAAGTAAAAACCCACCGATCCCCACCAGCGCCACCATCCTTTGATGTTGATTCGGGCTGTACCGTATAACCAGAGGAAAGATGCATACCATCACAGGGAATGTTGTATTGTTTCCGGCACTTGTCGACGAATTGTTCCAATTGATGTTGAGCGTCGTCTTGTTCCGCATATCCCATTGCTGAGGCAAGATATCCAAACATAGACCGGGGCATAAGCGAGTGGCCACCCATCATGGCATTAAACGTTTGCACCACCTTTCCCACCGAAGTCCCGCCATAGATCATATAGTAGTCCAATGGTCCCTTTTCAGCTTGATAGTACGTATAATCGCCCCACATCTAGTCAGTTGATACAAAGAAAAGGGCATGAGCATCCTCTTTTTTGTTAGGCATCCAATAGCAAGCTACTTACAGCATCACGTTCTTTGCCAAGGTCAAAGAGAGTTGGACTAAAGTTATTGTAGTAGACGCCATAAGCCTCGGTGGGGGAGGACGAGGATGAGGCCAAACCAACATAGAACGGACAGAATTTGTACAGAGGGTCTTGTGTTTCAGCATCGTAACCCATAGCGTCCGTGCGATCCAGACGAAAACGCCGTCCACCGAGATTCAGACGCCCCGTGCGCTCGCCTAGTCCATAGTAAAACGTGCCAGTCATGTCGTTATCGCCACCTGCCTTTCGTCGCTGGTAATGCCATCTTGTTCCATGATGAGGATCGTAACAGTAGCTTCGATCAGCCAAATCTTGAGCAAACCAGTCATCGTCATCATCTTGCTGTTTGTTGATGGTGACACAAGTAGAGGATGTTGGCGCTTTCTTCCACGTAATACAAAATGGAGAAGGTGTAATGACGAGTTGAATGTCGTTTGTCGTTAAAATGATAACCCTTTTCGAAGGTAAAGTGGAGGTGTTTGTTCTGCTTAGATGATATGTCAAGGTGTAGTCGATGGAAGATGAGTTGTAAGGGGTAATGACTGTTGCTTGCGTCCTGTCCATTGATACTGTGTGTAGGACTCGAACAACATGGCTGTCGATAATGTAGATGCTAATCCTATGACCTTCGCCGTTCACAAACGAAATGGGATGGCTTGAAGAATTATCCAAAGTGTAGTCGTCCGAAACTAGTTGCCGCATGGAATGAGTGTGGAAGAGGAGATAGAAAAGAAAACAGAAAAATGGCCAACAGCGACCTTTTTTAAAGTGGCAATGCATAAATTTTCAACCCCCGACTGGCGTGTGAGAATCTCGAAACAGGTTCCTAGATCATCGTGATTGG